AATCCCTGCCCGCCTCCCTTCCTGCAAAAGCCTCTCTTCTTCCCCCCCCCACACACGCCTTTCTTTCCTGCAGGGGAGGGGAGGGGAGCAAGGGGGAGGTCCCCGCCATCATCCCCATCATCCTACCACTTCCTCCTCCCAGGGAGCTCGCCTTGCATCCCTGCAGAGGCTCGTGCCCGGAGCAGGAACGCGCCCCCTCCTCCCTGGAGTTGGGGCTGGGATGGAGGGGGAAAGAAAGCCCGGCGTCTTCCAGGCGCCACAGGATGCTTCGGCTTTCCCCCCTCCTGCTCCCCCCCCGCCCCTCCACGGCCCTGGAGACTGAGGGGGTCGAGGGGGGGCTCTCTTTAGGGCCCCCAGAACTCAGGCGACCCCCTTCCTCCCAGAGACCCTGCGAGGGAGGCCAGCCAAGAGGGGGGGTCTCTCTCCTCACCCTGCTTTTCTCGGGGGTGGGAACCTCACCTCCCCCCAAGGCAGACCCTTCAGGGGCTCCGTCAAGCCTGGCCAAGGAAGGAAGGAGCCCTGAGCCCCTGGGCATGTGCAGAGGGCCTCCCACGCCATCAGCCAAAGGGCGCACCTGCCCTCCCAGCACCTCTTGGGAGGGGGCTTGTATTTAAGGCAGGAGGCCTCCATCCCCCCCATCTCTTCGCTCAGGGATGGGGGGGCTCAGTATCCCATGGAGTCCAACAGAAGAGGGGAGACCCAGGGTGTGTGTGGGGGGTGTCTTGGTCTACGTTTGTGTGTGTGTCCCCCTCCCTCCATCCAAAATGCCTCCTCAGACCCCCCCTCCCCACCTCCACCCCACAAGGTTCACCCCTTGTTCCCAGAGCTTGGGGACCTTTATTTTTTGGCCCCACAATGTCCAGAATTCTCCTCCAGAATAGGTATACTTGCTTGTTGTTTTGTTTACATATCCGTTTATATTAATATCCCCCCCCTTTAAAAAACAAAACACAAAAAGCACCTCTCCCTCTTTCCCCTCAGCGGCGACCTTCTGGCTGCCTCCTGACCATTTCTGCCTCACGAGGATGTGGGCTCTTCCAGGGCCATTAAAAACTAAAGAAAAGAAGCTTATTAATAAATCTGCTGGTCTTCAAGGTCCTACAAGATTCCTCATCCAATTATTTTATTTTTATTTCTTGCCACATATAAGCTCTGCTCTGACTCTATGATAGCCTAATGTAAATAATTGTTTTCCCCTCAGTTTTCTAACCGGTTGAGAGAGCTTGAATAGGCAGACATCCAACCAGTAGAGCTGTTAAGTGTGTGGGCAGAATTTCTGTGGGACGACGCTGCCTGCTCTCCACCTTGAAGGACCGCATATTTTCAGCCAGGCACAAATAAAGGCTTCCCCTCTCCTGATTCCCCGACATAAAGAGTCAAGAGTGGCACAGAAGTGGCTTTTCGTTTTCCCAGGAAGCAGGCAGAGGGCGGCTGGGTGTGGGCGGCTATCGCTTCCATCATAAAACAGGCGTGGTGGATTTAGCACCATAAAACCGGCCAGGTAGATGGTGCAAAGGACTCTCCTGCTGATAATCACCATTAACTTTTATTTGCATTGCAACTCTTGAGTTTGTATTTCAGGCAGGGGGATGATGGGGTCAGTAGGTGCAAAAAAAAGGTGCAGATCTGGCGATGTCCCAAAAGATCAGAGATCTGCAGGAGACCCGGGAGGGGGGGAATAGACTAGAGGACCTTCGGGAGCCCCTCCCAGCTCTGCAGGCCTAGGATCCTACCAGTTGACCTCTGGCTCTCTGTGGTCTTCGGCACCCGGTCTTTGAGGCTTGGCCATGCTCAGTGTGTAACATCTGAGGCTCAGTTTTGAAGAGGAGAAAACAGTGGGGTCTGTTGTAGTTTCAGGAACGTCCCACTTACAGGCAATGAGCTGTTGCTTTAACAGTGCTTGTATTCCATAGACGGCATGTTATTTTGTTAGAAATGTCCCGTCTTCCATCATCAGACTCCTTAATTCTTTGAAAGCAGGCACGTGAGGGTGGTCGGCTGTTCACACTTAACATTAAAATGACAAATTACAGGATGTGCAAAAGAGCCATTCAATGCATCCTACAGACAGAGTAGGATGCTATGGCTAAACAGACCATAATATTAACATTGCTTTATAGTTTCAAACAAACAAACAAACAAAAAGGCAATTGCCAGCATTTCTGCATTTGTTCAAAGGCGATCCAAGGGCTAGGACCGCACTGTGCAATCCTACATTACTACACCGGTAACGGGAATCGTTCTCCCTGTGGCTTTGAACCCCAGTGCCAGGCAGGAGCGTGGCCACTGGATTATCTGAGCAGATCTGTAGCGACAGAGGCTGTGTGGGAGGGAGAAGGATCAGGCCCTTGGCCTCCAGGACCCAGGGGCTCCTCAAGCCGGCCTCTTGGCTGAGGGGCCCAGGCAGACTTGCTACGGCCGTAGGTGGGGTGGGGGTGGCTGAGCCAAAGCAGCCACTGGCTTCAAACTGGGGAGGCCTCTGGCTGGAGGCGGCTCGGTGGTGGGGAGCAGCCGAGCCCTCCCTCCGCCCGCAGGGACCCGGGAACAGCTTGGCCTGGTTCTCGGAGGAGGCTCACAGCGCTGGCTCAGGTTTCGCGTTGAGGAAGGCCTCGCCTCCGTCGGAAGGGAGAGGTCCCTGCCGCTCTTCTTTTAAACTCATCTTCCTCCCGAGGCGACAGTGCCGGAAGGAACGCCGGCCTCCCCAGCGTGCTCCTGTGGTCTTGCGCCACCAGTGCCAGCCCAGGGCAAGCACCTCCGGGCTTCCTGGCGGGAAGGGGGTTCGTGCCCGTTGGGCAGTGTTCAGATTTGGGGCCACCTCCTTGGCTCTGCAGCCTGGCACCCCCTTCCACGGGCAGAAGAGCTGGGCTCTGGTGGGACACCTGGCCGGTGCACGAGGGCAGCAAACAGAACGCCTGGCCTGAATGAGAGAGCTGGGCTCTGGTGGGACACCTGGCCGGGGAACCAGGGCGAAGTAGAGACGGTGCACGGGGGCAGCAGACAGAACGCCTGGCCTGAATGAGGAGCAAATCCCGGGGGTGGGACGGTGACCGGGAGAGCAGGCAGGGTCCGAAATCCCTCCGGGGTTCTCCCGCAGCAGCAGCCGCAGCCGGCCGTGCGGAACAGGCAGGGTGGCAGGTTGGATCCGAGACCTGGAGAGGGAGGGAAGGAAGGCCACGGAAATCTCAGACCAGGACGCGCCGCTCACCAAGTGGAGCGCTCGGAGAAGAAAGAGCCAGCGCTCCCTCCGAAGTGGGTGGCCAGTGGCCATACTGGCTGAGGGACGACGGGGGCTGTATTCCCAAACGAGGGCCTTTACCGAGCTCTGATGGAGACCAAAGCCCTCTTAAAAGAGGTTCGGATGAGAAACGATGTTGTTCCAGGGCTCCAGCGTCCTCTTAAGAAAAGGGGTCACGGGGTGCCCTCGTACGGCCTTCGGTGGGGATGAAGTCCAGGGCAACGTCCACACAGGACGGGGGGAAATGAACAGCACAGTATCTCCTGGCTGTGGGGAAAGCCGGTGGCAATACTGCAGGTCACGTATGGCGGAGGAACGGGGAATTAAGGAGCCCAAGCCCTCCAAGACCACCCAAGACATGAGTGAACCTCGCAAGGCGCTCCGTTCCTTCCATGGGGCTCGTGGTGGGCGGCGCTCAGAACAAAACACCTTTCTCTCCCTTTCTTTCTTTTTTCTATATTGCTAATGCAAGAAATTGTGACAAAATTGATGCAACAAGAAGGAACGGAACCTATCTCATTGGTGCAACGTGCTAAAACCACTTGTGAAAGCTTTAAGGTCATTTTAACACAATATTAGAAGCATTTTTGGACACCCTTCTCCACCCGCACCCTGGCCCCAGTTTAATCCTGTTTTTGTACCAATCCTGAAAATTTACTTTCTACAAGTAGTGGAATATATGACAGAAGCAAAAAATGCAACATGGTGCGTAACAGCTCCTATTAAGCCCGGCAACGAGCAGTGGAAAATGATGGCTTTTTGTGAAGAATTTTCCAGGGGGTGGTTGCTGTAAATAAGGGAGGCCTGAGCGGAGCCAGGATGGGGAAGCCAGGATGAGCTTGGGGCAGGGATGGGGATCAGGAGGAGGACGAGGCTCGCCTGGGTCACGAGAGGGCGCCCGAGGGCAGCCGGAGAGGGCCAGCACTCTGCCAGGGGCCTCCCGAGTCTGGGAGGTACCCAGGAAGCCAAGGGGCTAATTGATGAACCTTTTCCTCCCTGGGAGCAGCCGGCCGCTCTTGTCCTACAAAGGTTAATTCCTGCAGGGCTCCAGCCAGCCCGCGTGGCTGAAATCAAAGCCTGGAAAAGTTAGCCTGCTGGAGAAGGGCAGCCGGAGAGGGCCAGCACTCTGCCAGGGGCCTCCCGAGTCTGGGAGGTACCCAGGAAGCCAAGGGGCTAATTGATGAACCTTTTCCTCCCTGGGAGCAGCCGGCCGCTCTTGTCCTACAAAGGTTAATTCCTGCAGGGCTCCAGCCAGCCCGCGTGGCTGAAATCAAAGCCTGGAAAAGTTAGCCTGCTGGAGACTACCAGCCCCAGA